AGTGAATCTGTTAACCTATCATAGTTCAAGATGGTTCAAATTTCGCACAGGCTCAGAATATAGAACCTAGAAAGTTAGATTTTCGTGGTAGTTACAATATGTTCAGCCCCGTTCGACTGTACTGCCATGTGCACTGGTTTATGAGTATTTTTATTTAAACCGTAGCATGCCACGAAATTACAGTTAGAATTATGAGCCATGAAGGGTTTTCTTAGTTTTGATCGACGCCTTCAATAAAGAGATCAAACAAAACTTTACATATTTTAGTGAAATTTGTACACATTTTATTTAAAGTAAATATTTTGAAAATGAATACGTTTAGTTTTTAGTAAAAACATAATGCTATTTAAATGATAACTAAATGAATAAATATTTAAACTAATAAAAACGCCCATAGTCCTGAAAAAATGGTAACTCGGATTGATTACAGAAATCAATTGTCAGATTACCAGTATCTTATTGTAATTTCGTTCGCTTTTATATAATAAAATAATTATACCCTTCACCACACTGTGGTACAGGGTATTATGTCTTTGTGCATATGTTTGTAACAGGCAAAAATAATCGAGATAGACCCATGGATCCTTTTGAGAATATGCATAGAATCACTTTCTGAGTCGATTTACGCATGTCCGTCTGTCCGTCCGTCCGTCCGTCTGTCCATGTTAAATTGTAAACAAAGTACAGTTCGCATTTATGATCCGAATTGGATGAAATTTGGCACAGGTCTCTTAATTGGCCCAAGGACGAACCCTATTGAAATTTGAGAAAATCGGTCCACGTTTAGGCATAGCTCCCATATAAGGGTACCCCAAAATTTTCGGTATTTTGAGGTTCTTGAGCGCGTTTTTTAACTGAATTCGCTGAAATTTTGTACTTTGAGTTCTTATTGGGTAGCAAATCTCCCTACCAAATATTATAAATAAAGGTCCCTTTTTTCGGATAGCTCCCATATAAGGGTACCCCAAAATTTTCGGTATTTTAAGGTTCTTGAGCGCGTTTTTTAACTGAATTCGCTGAAATTTGGTACTTTGAGTTCTTATTGGGTAGCAAATATCCCTACCAAAAATTATAAATAAAGGTCCTTTTTTCGGATAGCCCCCAAGGGTACCCCCAATTTTCGGTATTTTGAGGTTCTTGAGCGCGTTTTTTAACTGAATTCGCTGAAATTTGGTACTTTGAGTTCTTATTGGGTAGCAAATATCCCTACCAAAAATTATAAATAAAGGTCCTTTTTTCGGATAGCCCCCAAGGGTACCCCCAATTTTCGGTATTTTCGGGTTCATTGTCTCGTTTTATAACTGAATTCTCTGAAATTTTGTACATTGGGTTCTTATTGGGTACCAAATTACTCCATTAAAAATTATAAATATAGGTCCAGGTTTCCTGGTAGTCCCCATATAACGGTACTTCCAAATTTTTGGTATTTTGGGGGTTCTGATCGTATTTTTCGACCGAATTGATTGTTCTTATTAGGTAGCCAATCTCTCCACTGTAAATTATAAATATTGATCAATTTTTTCTGGTATCCCCAATATAAGGGTACCCCCCAATTTTCGGTATTTTTAGGTTCTTCAACCAAATTCTATTTATACCCTTCACCACACTAAGGTACATGGTATTATGTCTTAGTGCATATGTTTGTAACAGGCAAAAGGAAACGAGATAGACACATGGTTCCGTGTGAGAATATGCATAGAATCACTTTTTGAGTCGATTTGACAAAAAAGGTCTAAGTTTCGTGAAAATCGGTTCAGATTTATATAAAGCTCTCATATATATTTTCGTCCGATTTAATGAAAATGGTGCACCAAAGTCCCTATATATATTTCGATTTGCACGAAATTTGGCACAGCGTAATGAATTATCTCTAGAATGATGTGTGTTAAGTTTCCTGGAAATCGGTTCAGATTTAGATATAGATCTCATATATATTTTCGTCCGATTTAAGGTAAATTGTGCACAAAAGTCCCTATATATCTCTCGATTTGCACTAAATTTGGCTTAGCGTAATGAATTCTGTCTAGAATTTTGTGTGTTAAGTTTCCTGAAAATCGGTTCGGATTTAGATATAGCTCCCATATATATTTTCGTCCGATTTAATGTAAATGGTGCACCAAAGTCCCTTAATATCTTTCGGTTTGCACTAAATTTGGCACAGCGTAATGAATTAGGTCTATATGTGTGTTAAGTTTCCTGAAATCGGTTCAGATTTAGATATAGCTTCTATATCTGACCAAATGAAAAATTTAGTATAGGTTCCAGAATGGCATGTTTATGGATCGATTTTCATGTTAGTGGTCCTTCAAAAATTCGACGTCTGTTATGATTCATCGGTTGAATATGCCCAAAGTGGTGAAGGGTATCATATAGTCGGCCCCGTCCGACTTTACTACTTTCCTTACTGGTTTTTTGTAGTCGCTGAAAAATGCTACATTGGATTATTATTACGTTCCAAATTTTTTAAAAATTATATATATATGTCCAAAAGCCAACCAGACAGCTCCCATATAACCGTACCCACCAATTTTCAGTATTTTGGAGGTTTTGATCTATTTTGCGACCGGTTGGCTGTAAATTAGCTTGTTGAGTTCTTAATAAGTACCAAATTCAAATAAAAAAATATAAAAAATTATATCGGCTATGCAGGATAACTTTAAGTGGCACAAGGTCAACATTGCGAGCGATAACAGCCACCTTTGAACAAATTGAGAAGGAGTCTGCCAAAGTGGGTCTGACTGTAAACAGCGAGAAGACCAAGCTGATGGTATCAACGCGCAAGACGTCCAGTAGACTCGGACTATCTGTGGAACTTGAGAACTACAGCTTCGATGTAGTTAAAGATTTTATATACCTTGGTACCGCCATAAATAAAACGAATGACATCAGTTTTGAAATTTAGAGAAGGATTGTGATGGCCAACAGATGCCACTATGGTCTAAGTAAGCAGTTTAGAAACAAGGCCACCACCCGCCAGACCAAACTCACACTTTACAAGACGCCGATACTACTCGTGCTGTTATATGGATCTGAAGCATGGGTACTTGCGCAAGCAGATGAGGCAGCTCAAAAGGCATATAAAAGGGAGCCTTCTGATGGTTCCCGTAGAAGGAGAAGGCCACGAATCAGATGGAAATACCAAGTAGAAAAAAAAACATTTTGGAACATAGTCTTTCAAATTGGATGAGATGCGCACAAGACAGACGCGCTTGGAAATCTTTTTTAAGCACGGCATATGGAACAAACGTTCTGTAACAAGCCAGCTAAGTAAGTAAGTAATTTTTTAGGATAGCCCCTATATAAGGGTACCCTCCACTTTTCGGTATTCGTGGGTTCTTGGGCGCAAAAGTATGGAATTCTAAGACGATTTAGCCATCTGTTGTTATCATTCTACCTTCGAAAGATATCGAGATAATAAACTGGAACGTCAGGTTCGAGAACGAACTATATCCGTCGCAAATGATACCTACGGATTTTCGGTATTTTTTAATATTTAGCATGAAGGAGGTATCATATAATGATACCTCCAAATATTCGATAATTCCTACACAATGTAATCAATATTGATCCCGATTTAGGTATAGCCTCCAGGGACGTACGCATACAAATTTTTCCCCTCAGTGACAATTTTCATATGACGATCGCCTCATATAACGTTGCCCTCTAAATTGCAGTATTTTAGGGATTTTATACACATGTCCCACTCTAACATGCGTCGTCAAAATCTCTCCACATTTTGGGGTTTTGCTATTTTAGGAAAAATATTCATTAAAAATTGCTGAAATTCGTATTTGGTGTACATTCGCTGGATACAATTGGTGGTATAGATATATTTTTTGCTATGTTCCCTATATCTTCATTTCGAGTAACTATTAGTATACCTATGATGGAGGGTATCCATAGTTCGGCCCGGCCGAACTTAACTCCATTCACACTTCTTTTCTATTCTGTTTATGCGTGAGGTTTACCCAAAATAATGCCGTATTCACGAGACTTGGTCCCGCTGACTGTTTAGGTAATTCGAAGCCTAAGGTGGTGGATTTAATTTGGCATACCGGTTTCTAAGTGCTAAAAAAACTTTTCCGTAGAAAAACTTTTAATGTAGACCCACATTTTGGTGTAGCTCCCATTTTGAACATTTAGTCGTATTTTCAAAACTAGGTGGTTGTTATTAAGTATTACGGGTTCTTAGTGGCAAACAATTTATTTTTTTTCAGAAAATTTTCAATAGGTCAACAGGCTTTCACATAGCCTTGGGAGTTTTCAGGCTTTGGTTGCATTTTCCACCACCAATTTGGCTTTCGGCATTCTTGGTGAGTAAAAACCCTCTATATTTAATTTAAGTCATTATTATGAGATAGCCTCACATATAAAGAACCGCAACGTTTAAGTTTGTTTTGATGGTCCTCAATCAAAGTGAATAATACCCCTGCAGAATCCATTTGTATTTGGATTGTAAACTATTTTCAACCTAAAGGCTAGTAAATAAATCGGCCTGGCCTTTGGGATTCTGTAGTTTCAATATCTTAACTATATATAAAAATTAAAAATCGGCGATGGCAAACAATTTGAATATTGTTTCATAAAATCGAATCACTTGGGTCACCCTGTTAGTAGAAAGATTAAGTGCATTTTACATGTTCATGTTTGGGTGGCCAATTGAAATATTAGGAAATATGTAATTATGCCATATAAATGGAAAAACGTGGATGGACGACTTATAATATACATTTAACATAGAACCACTCAGATTCTAAGTTGAAAGGTATATTTGAAAGTAAGCAGAGAGGAAGACAAAATTAATTACTACCTCGTCGTCGAAAAGGGAAATGTTTTGCAAGTAACGACAGCAACAACAGCATCAATTTGAAAAAAAAAAAAATATCTTGATTAAATTCATATATAAAGACCATTGATTAGATCTTCAATGGCACAGTGCACCTTTGTAATTGTTAACTGCATTTTCAAGAGAGATTGTCTATCTGGAAAGGAACATCAAGATGCGTTTAACTGTATTTTTAATTGCGGTAATTTTGGTTGTAACCGTATCGGCAGGAGGTGGTGGAGGAGGCTTTGGCGGTGGTAACCAATGGGCCAATAAACAAGGTGGTTATGGTGGTGGTGGTAGCAGAGGTGGTTATGGTGGCGTTGGCTCCAATAATCCTTGGGCGAATAAACAAAGTGGAGGTGCCTCATATGGTGGCGGTTTTGGCTCAAATCCTTGGGCAAATAAACAAGGTGGTTTTGGAAATGGTGGAGGAGGTAGAGGCGGCTTCGCTGGTAAACATGGTGGCTCTGGTGGTTTTGGTGGATATAATGGCGGTGGTGGAGGCGGAGGATTTGGTGGTTTTGGAGGTCATGGTGGATCCAGTGGAGGTTATAGTGGTCATGGTGGATCCAATGGAGGTTATGGCGGTCATGGTGGAAACAATGGAGGTTTCGGAGGTCATGGTGGTGGCAACAATGGCGGTTTTGGTGGCAATCATGGTGGTTGGGGATACAAACAGGGCGGTGGCAACCCATGGGCCAACAAACATGGTGGTGGCAGAGGTTCTTGGTAAAAGTCAGCAGAACATTATAAGGATATTCTGATCCCAAATGCCATTGATACATGTTCATTAATTTCAACATTGTGTTATATTTTCTTTAATAGTTTTAATAAATCTTTGCATTATATTTTTATATAAAAATCTTTGTTTTTATCTCAGGTGGGTTTACATGAATATTTTGCATCCTCTCTCATAGGAATATTGACATTTACAAAAGATAGAATTTTTATAGAGAGTAAGATATAACAAAAATGTGGACATATTACACCATTGTGTTCCAAGGATATTTCGAAACCAAATTGGCACCTGGAATACTTAATTCCAATTATTTTGAATGGAATTTTTGATAGCAACTCAGAATGCTCAAAATGCCGAATATTAGGGTTACTGATGAACGCGAGACCATAGACCAACTTAACCTTTGGTCGAATCCTGTGAACATGACACCCATATTCTGCGGAACTTGTGCGCACTTATTTCTCTTTCCTTACATTTTGTGACGGTTATGCATTCAATTCTTTTTAATAATCCGCTTCAAATATTTTTGTTTAAACGCACATAAATATTTTCAAACACCAGCTAATAAGCTTAAGAAATACATTTTATCCTGTTGTGACAGGTAAATTAATAAAAAAACTTTGTTTCACAAAAAAAATCGAATTCTTTAAAAGTATCAGAGCGTGACAGCTAAAGACACTCGACAACTTAAAATATTACCAATTCTTTCAAAACTGAAAGGGGTGTGTGTGCATGTGTGAATGCAAAATTAAAATGTCAACTGAAATTTAAACAAACAACAAATTGTCTGGTCAAAATTGTTGTAGGTGCTACCAGAAGACATATGTTTTGTTTCTAATTTAACAATCTGGACATTTAATAAAACGAATTGTTTTCAATTGCCTTTGAAATGGCTGTGTGTTGCATTTTAAGTTGGATTTAATTTAAAACATTATTTGATAGTATTTCCCATAATGGTACTGTACTCAGTATTATGTTAAGCACAATGATAAATAAAAATTCTGGACACATTCCCAATAAAACTGTAATTTAGTGTAGTAAAATAATAGTCCGCTACAAATATTAATATTTCATATGAATCAGAAATACAATTGGTGTGTGTGTTTTTTCCTTTCCTGATTAATATTAAATGGGTAATATAAATGGACTTAAAAAGTGATTCTATGCATATTCTCAAAAGGAACCACCTCGTTTCCTTTTGCCTGTTACATACATATACACATAGACATAATACCCTGTACCACAGTGTGGAGAAGGGTATAAAAACTAACTCAATTCTGCTTTCAAGTGGTAATCGTCAGTACAAATTTACCAATTCCACCTAAACCTACCTACTCTTACAGTAATTCAAATTCCAAATATAAGTTTTCCATCTCTACCCATTCACTCAAATCTAAATTGTATCAAAAATAGTACAATTTAGTTCACAAAATTAAGATTTTACAAAATTACCACAATGTTTCAATGTGTAGCAACACTTCAATTTTTCAATGTGTAGGAACACTTCCAACAGTAATTTTAATTCCAAATTTTAGGATTACCGCTTTGCCAGTTCACACAAACCAAATTGTACCAACTTTAGTACCATTTAGTGCCTTTCGTATCCTTATATACGCCATTCCAATTAAATCAAAATTGTACCAAGCTCAATGAACTTCAATCCGATTAAGCCTTAATCCGTGGTCAATTACCCTTAAGCCGGATTAAAGCTTAATCCGGGGTAAATGACACTTAATCCGTAACTATATGATCGGATTAATGAATCGACCTGTACTTTGTTTACAATTTAACATCAACAGACGGACGGACATGCATAAATCGCAAATCGAATGATTTCTAAAGAAGGCTATATCTAAATCTGAATCCGATTTAATAGGGTTGCATAAATGTCAAATTTCAAAAGGAACCTTTACATCAACAGACGGACGGACATGCATAAATCGACTCGAAGGTGATTCTATTCCTTTTGCCTGTTACAATCATATGCACAAAGACATAATACCCTGTACCACAGTGTGGTGAAGGGTATAAAAAGGCGGACTATCGATCAGCATACTTGGTCAAATTCGAAAGCCTTACAGAAAACCATGGCAGTTTTTTAAACAAGGAACACTTCGAATCGAAAATCTTACCGACCAATAAGTCTTACTTCATTTCTACTCAAAACCATGGAAGGGACAGTCGACACCAAGATAAAGAGCAAAGGCTTAACTATAGTTTAGTAAAAACGATCAGATTTTACTGACATTTTTTCCAGAGTTAGGAATTTTTACCCTAATTATGGAAATATCTTTTTTTCTTGGGGAACTTAGCACACATCATTCTAGACTTAATTCAGTACGCTATGCAAAAATTCGTGCAAATCGAATGATTTGCAGGGACTAAAGTCCGTATATGGGAGCTATATCTAAATCTGAACCGATTTCAATAGGGTTCGTCCTTGGGCCAAATAAATGAGCTGTACCAAATTTCAGCCAAATCGGATTATGAATGCGACCTGTACTTCGTTTACCATTTAACATCAACAGACGGACGGACATGCATAAATCGACTCAGAAGGTGATTCTATGCATATTCTCAAAAGGAACCATGGGTCTATCTCGATTCCTTTTGCCTGTTACAATCATATGCACAAAGACATAATACCCTGTACCACAGTGTGGTGAAGGGTATAAAAAGGCGGACTATCGATCAGCATACTTGGTCAAATTCGAAAGCCTTACAGGAAACCATGGCAGTTTTTTAAACAAGGAACACTTCGAATCGAAAATCTTACCGACCAATAAGTCTTACTTCATTTCTACTCAAAAAACTTGATTATGTGCAAACGGATAGGCTGGACTCCAGAGGAAGGAAGGAACTTAAGGAATTAAAATTACTGTTGGATTGAGGTAGTTTAGGAAATGTGTAATTTTGGGAACATAAAGTACTAAATTGTACTAAATAGTCATGGTCCGTTTGCATAGAATCACTTTCTCCGAATATAGCTCGATATATAGTTTCGTTCGATTTAAAGTAAATGGTGCACCAAAGTCCTTATATATCTTATAAATTAAGGGTCCTTGACCCAGGATCAAGGCTTAATCCGGATTAAGGCTTAATCCGGATTATGGCTTTATCCGGATTAAGGGCCACTTAATCCGGATTAAGGGACACTTAATCCGGATTAAGGGTCCTTGACCCAGGTTTAAGGCTTGACCCAGGTTTAAGGCTTAATCCGGATTAAGGGATTAAGCCTTAAACCTGGGTCAAGGACCCTTAATCCGGATTAAGGGATTATCCGGCCCTTAATCCGGATTATGCCTTAATCCGGATTAAGGGATTATCCGGATTAAGTGGCCCTTAATCCGGATAAAGTGGCCCTTAATCCGGATTAAGCCTTAAACTTGGGTCAAGGACCCTTAATCCGGATTAAGGCATAATCCGGATTAAGGGTCCTTGACCCAGGATTAAGGATTAAAGGCCACTTAATCCGGATTAAAGGCCACTTTATCCGGATTAAGGGTCCTTGACCCAGGTTTAAGGCTTAATCCGGATTAAGTGGCCCTTAATCCGAATAATCCCTTAATCCGAATTAAGGCATACTCCGGATTAAGGGCCACTTAATCCGGATTAAGAGACACTTAATCCGGATTAAGGGACATTTAATCCGGTATAAGGATCCTTGACCCCGGATTAAGGCTTAATACGGATTAAGGGTCATTGACCCCGGATTAAAGGGGAAGAGCTAGAATTCTGAAATTTTGGATGTGGTTCACTGATGGAAAGTTAGAAGGATGTAGATGCTCCATTTTAGAAATTCGTACTTATGTCTATGAAAAGTACTAAATTTGGTACTATCTGCATTTAGATGAGCATAAAGAGATTGAAAACTAAAAATAGGAATTAGGATTACTATTGGAGTACAGGATTGAGGTACTTATGTGTACTAAATGGTACTATGTTTGGTACAACTTGATTATGTGCAAACGGATAGGCCGGGTCAAGGATCCTTAAACCGGATTAAGTGGCCCTTAATCCGGATTAAGTGTCCCTTAATCCAGATTAAGCCTTATACCTGGGTCAAGGACCCTTAATCCGGATTAAGGCATAATCCGGATTAAGGGCCGGATAATCCCTTAATCCGGATTAAGCCTTAAACTTGGGTCAAGGACCCTTAATCCGGATTAAGGCATAATCCGGATTAAGGGCCGGATAATCCCTTAATCCGGATTAAGGCATAATCCGGATTAAGGGCCGGATAATCCCTTAATCCGGATTAAGGGCCACTTAATCCGGTTTAAGGATCCTTGACCCCGGATTAAGGCTTAATACGGATTAAGGGTCATTGACCCCGGATTAAAAGCCATAATTGAACCCGAATTTAAGGCCATTGACCCCGAATCTGCATTTAGTTGAGCGTAAAGAGATTGAATACTTAAAAATAGGAATTAGGATTACTATTGGAGTACAGGATTGAGGTACTTATGTGTACTAAATGGTACTATGTTTGGTACAACTTGATTATGTGCAAACGGACAGGCTGGACTCCAGACTTAAGGAATTAAAATTACTGTTGGATTGAGGTAGTTTAGGAAATGCGTAATTTTGGGAATCATGGTCCGTTTTGAGAATATGCATAGAATCGCTTTCTCCGAATATAGCTCGATATATAGTTTCGTTCGATTTAAAGTAAATGGTGCACCAAAGTCCTTATATATCTTATAAATTAAGGGTCCTTGACCCAGGATCAAGGGACACTTAATCCGGATTAAGGGACACATAATCCGGATTAAGGGACACTTAATCCGGATTAAGTGGCCCTTAATCCGGATTAAGGGACACTTAATCCGGATTAAGGGTCCTTGACCCAAGTTTAAGGCTTAATCCGGATTAAGGCCACTTTATCCGGATTAAGGGTCCTTGACCCAAGTTTAAGGCTTAATCCGGATTAAGGGACACTTAATCCGGATTAAGGCATAATCCGGATTAAGGCATAATCCGGATTAAGGGCC